ATTTTAAATTAATTTTTTTAATTAATGGTTTCAATTGAGAAACTTTGTTTATATATCAAAAGACGCAGAATTTAATTCTATGTAAGATAACAAGACTAAAACCCTGGATTCAGAACGTTTTACTGCTTTTATAGGCCAAAAACTAAATTCTGTGAAAAATAGGTTCAAAAGTTAGGTTTTTTTAGATTTATCAGCTTTTTGCACAGAGAAATTTTCCTAGAAGATTTAACTGCAAAAATATTCGAAATATATTCTCACATATTCGAAAAATATGTGAGAAGATGCAGAATTTTCCGGTGAATCTTCTGATGTTTTCAAAAATCTTATGCAATCTATTTTTGGATCAAGGCAAATGTTTTTCTATTTTCATTGTGTCGCAGTTCGACAACTCAGCACTCTTCAATATTTTGAATGGTGCTCAAACGAGAAAAATGCTCTCAGAGATTCGAATAGTAGGATTTGTAGAGCTTGAAATTCTCTATCTTCTGGTATGTAAAGAAACTTCTAATTTGAAAAGGAAGTACGAAAAAAATGCAGTAACATTTAGTCCAGTTTATTGTGGCACACCCGTTATTCAGACATAATTATCTTGCATTTCAAATACTCTATTTTCGTACTACCAGACCAAACGATCATATGACCAACATCTATGCATAGTAATCATACATTCAATTATTGAAAATCTTTTTGGTTTTTTTAAATTATTTAGGACATTTTCCAAGTTCTAATTTTGCAACTACCTCGGATGAAAAATAAAAACATCAGAAAACTGAAACTAATTGCGCTGTAAAAAGTAATAAAAATTCTAAACAAAATATTTATGTGACTTACATTTACTGTGATATCAAATTTAAAATAATATAGATCAGTGAGTTTCACTTTAGATGCACTTGATAACTCCAAAGCTATTTCATTTAATTCAACATATGCAAAGTTTATTCTTGTTTTTTCCGTTATTTGAAGTTCACATGTTTTCCAATCAAGTGATTGTGGCTCTGTTATTTTGCAATTCACGAGCTGACGTCCAGATAATTGCCATAAAGATGGTACTAGCACATAAAAATTTATCATATTAATATTTAGTTCGAAATAATTAACTTACCAACCGTCGAAACATTTAGAAATTCATTATCTTGTGTCACATAAGAGGGATGTAATAAACAAATCAACCGAACATGAATTTTGATACAAAATGTATGTTTTGGTCTTTTTTCATAGATACTAATAGGCATGGGACTTTTACGATTTAATCCCGATAAAGGATGAGAAACGATCATAAACGAACTTAAAATATAGAATAAATGAGAAAAAGAAGCATGTTTTGTTACTCTCAAATGTCTCTAAATTGCCTACTGGTTGAATAATGCGTCCATCTCCTTTTGTCCAGAAGTTATGCGAAATGTGCCATCGTTCCGAATACCCTCAATAATACCTCTTAAATGAAATGTCGTTCTAAACAATATATCATATAAAGTTATATACTCTCTTTTTCTATCGTTCTTACTATTACCATACAAACTGTAAGATAAGATATTTCAAATTGAACTCACTTAGCTTGTAAATTTATCAAATTTTCAGGAGAACCAGCGGTAGCATGATCATAGAAAAACATTCGTCTTTTTAACTGAGCATTCTTTCTACACATAAATTCTTTTTCTCTTTGGCGAAAATCCTTCGAAAAGATGCAACATAAATAATATTAATTAATCATATTTCGCTCTTAGCAGTGATTCTCTCCTCTTACAAAGTTCTTCCGTGAAATATTTCTAGTGATGTAACATTAAACTGTAAAAACTTCTTTCGTCTACAGAGCATATGAAAGAGTCTGATCTATCTACGAGGGAAAAAATGTGTGACTAAACTAGGATTCAAACCCAAGATCTTGATATTCCGTGTCTATGCTCTAACTACTAAGCGACATGGTCGACATCTCTATCCGCCACACTATCCATCTGCGGTTTCACATCATCGATGGTTCAGATAACCTCCTTTATCCACTTGCGATCGTTAGGTGGTCCTCCTTCTCCTGATGGAAAAAAATTTCATCGAACAGAGTCATAGTTTTCATTAAAAGTAACTAATTTCAGATGATTTTTCCGTTTTGAAAAATATTGCTTCAATAGAAAATTACAGCAAAAATACTAGAAAACCTTTTGCAGATGTTGGCTATTAACAAGGACAATCGTCTAACTTGACCTAGAAAAATTTCTTGAAAAATCAAGAAGAAAAAGACATCTATAATTTCCTCAGAAGTACTTGTGAATAAAATTGCTTAGTGGACGGGAAGAGAAACGTTAGCCAACGAGGGAACATTCCCAAATGATTCTCCTCGATTCAAGTGATATTTTGCTGATAGAACTTGCTCAATGGTCTAACAAAAATCTGAAGAAAGTTCGTGCCCATGTAACTTCCCTCCCAGGTTATGACCGATTTAGTGAAAGTCGAGTTTTTGGTATGTTTACTGTAACTAACTATTGAAATATGCTGGAGAGTTGAAACTGGTAGCAATGATAGAGCCTCTACGCAATAAAAGTTTTAGACTTTCATCTTATGTACTTCATGAGAACTTAAATATTCGTTTTCTCATGTGGCTTCGGCATTGTCTACGAATGAAAAAAAAATCTAATCGCCGAATTAAACACACAAGAACACTTAAAAAGACTCCAACAGATCACCAGCAATTTTACGAACTTATGAATGCTAGAATCTATTTGTATACGTATAAATATTAGAGTAAAATAATTTATATAGGCTGTTAAAACATTACTTGAAGATATATTATGTTATTTTCTGGAATTGGTTGACCCGTCACGCGGTCCCATATTTCCTGTCGGATCTCGTCAAATAGTTTCTCGTTCTAAATTTAAAACACATGCTTGAATAAGAACTCTTTAGCTGTCTCATCTCTCAAAATAAGAACTAGAACTCAGAACCAACTTTCTGTTCAGAAGTCAGAAATATGACGAGAAATAATAAAATTTTTAACAGACAAAATAGGTGAAGAAAAAAGGCTTAATTTCGTGAATTAAAATTAAAATAAGTTTATCCTAACCTGTTCAGCAAATGTTATCAATCGATTTAACATGAGACATTTTTCAGTTGAACAAAGTTTCTTTTCATCCAAATTATGCCTTTGTTTCTTAAGCGAAGCGATAAGAACTCTCATATTGCTAGATAAAATTAAAACAAGAAATATTTATATATATATCTTTGGTTTTTTCTAAGAAAAATCAAATACTTACACAGCATTCTGGACACTAAGAGGTTCATTAAACGGATCTGAAAAATTAAAATCACCAACATGTTTTCTAACAAGAAAACATTGGATACCAACATGTTTCATGGAATATTCATTTGGACTGAGAAAATCATGACAATCTAATGATCCTGTCAGAACAGTCTATAAAAAATGAACATCATCTACATGTCTAGCCGGAATACTCTACAATTAATCTCACAGGTTTTTGTACAATCGATGACATCGGTTTTATACATACCGGTGGCAGTGGAGCTTCTAAAAGAAATATTCGATCCGTTTCGATTTTAGTCCCGAAGGTCAATACAAAATTTACTCATTACTCGTTGTTGTACTAACAATTTCTGCATGTATCACAGTCATTCCTTGCAGAAAAGTAACTACTAGTTACATGAATGGTAAGAAGGAGACAATAAAAGTAGTAGTAGGGCGCCCGTAATTCAAAGTTTAAGCACTATTTTCTTTTTGATTTTAACAAACATAATCTGATAGAAGAAATCAAGCTGAATCCGAATATCACATTTATTTTGCTTTACGACCTTTCCTTGTCGATGAAAATTGCGAAATACTGAGAAGTATCCGAAAATCGGAAAAACCTATACTTCAAATGTTTTGCTTGTTGTTTTGTCGAGTTAAATTTAGGAATTTTGAAACAGAGTTTTTCTGAATCAGTGTGTCAAACTGCATATGATAACGTGTCTTTGAACTTCTCCACATTGCTTTTAGCCTTTGCAAAAAATTCATTTCTAAGAGAACTCAAAAACGAGACACTTCACTCGAAAAAACCATCATGTCTTTTGCCTTAAGAGATGAAGCCTTGTTTAACACAGTATTCGAGCCGCCTTGCAGCGGAGAATAAAGTTATAACTGCGGATTTCCGAATTTTTCCTGATGACTCTTGAAGACTCAGTTTTCTGTAAAACCAGTTTCTCAGAAACTCTAAAAAAAATCCAAAACCTTTCTTAATGAGGCATAATTGTAGTCCGTAAATTTCTAATTAAAATGAGACATCTTCCGGCTCCCAGCCAGAATTCACACGCAAACCCCTAAATTAATTTTTTCCTTATTT